CTTCTTTTCTTAATGGAATAATCAGAATGGACTCAATAAAAGAGAGCAAAATATCAGTAATATTAGAGATTGGAGAGTCTGGGTTACTCCTTTAATGATGGGTTAAATTGGGAGGGGAGGGGGTAGCAAGAGAGGACAAATTCTAAGCTATTCCTTACTGAAAGAATGAGATATCTAATCAGAAAGATATTAGTATAAGCAAATCAGTATGTAGGCATGGCAGGTTTGGGCTTTTGGTTTTGGTAGATGCTGATTAACTTAGGCTTCTTCTGTGTGTCTGCAGCAATCCAGATAAAAATTGTACCTTTAGGTTTTCTTGCTTCTTCCTCCTTTCCCTCTCAGTGTGGTGTTCTGTCACTGTCCTGTCCTGTCCTGATTTTTGAGAGTAGAAAGCTTGACAAACATGATCTGTATTCTGACATTTTGAAAATTAAGACATTGCTCTCCTTTTCCAGCTTCCTCCACTCCATGTCAAGATGTGACAATAAAGCTCCCAAAATGGCTCTAAAGTAACAGCATAAAAATCTACAGCTGCTACAATTTCATACTATTCCTTGAATTTTTGATTCAAGAATTTCTGAACACTTGTTTAGTTTTTTTTTGGTTTTTTACTCTGTGCAACTTGTCTTCTAAAAATTGTTAAGATCCCTGTCCTTAGGGTGGTGTTTGGAGTGGACAGGGAGTAATCCTTTCTGCAGCACTACCAGGTATGCAAAGGTATGGTTATATGGGCATATTTGAATGTGGGAACTTTCCTGTAGGGTCTACAGCACAATTTTCATGTGCTCTCATTTGTACCAAGAAGTTTTTGTGAGCTGTATTGATGTCTCCCATCTGGATCTGGAAGCTCTCTGCCTTGTACTCAGCAAATCTATCCCTTTTATTAAAGAATTGTAAACAGAGCAGAGAAAACAGTCTCAATTGTTGGTTCTGCAGTGTGGCAACAAATACTAGATATAAATTAATTACTTATGAAATCCTTCTGAAATCCTGTGATTTTAATTCTTAGGAACTTTCTTTCCATCTGTTTTTATACCCTGTGCCTTCCTCCCCATGTAGCTACCAACACTGGAGAGCACTGGAAGTAAACCAGCAAGTACCATTGCTCCTTGCCTGCAATTTCAGAAGGCCTCAGCCCTGACTTACTGATCAGTCATAGTCTGCTCCTGCTCTGCCAGACCTTTCATTGGAGAGGCTCTGGCTATTAACGAGATTTGAGGCAGGAGGAAAGAGCATCTTTGAGTTCCTAGACAATGAAGTGATAGATGAGGGGACTGACGGGTTGAGGACTAAGCCTCTCTCAGCTCTTGTTCCTGCAGCTATTGACAGCTGTCTGGGCCATCAGTTAGACTCTGCCTCACCCAAGCATTTGTATGGTTTCCTCGTGTCTGTTGTGGGCTTTTTACAGCCACGAATCCAGCTTCAGCTGCAAACCTGAGTATTCCTGGTGTCAGTCAGTGCAGTCTTTCTGGTACCTGGGATTAACTAGAGCTAACAGCAACCTGGCAACATCACAGCCTCCTCACCAGGCAATGTGCCTGTCTGCCAGACAATTCCCTGTTACCTGGGAGTATCAGAAAGTCTTTGTTAGGACCAGTTGCTGATCTGTTGCTGTCCTCTCTTATGCCTCTGTGGATTACGATTTTGTTCCCTTCCATTTTTTGCAGAATGCTGCTCTTCTCTGAAATGCCGGGCTGTGACATATCCTGTTTCTTTTTTATTTTGGCAGTTTGGTGATGTATAAACAGTGCAGAAAGGTCTTGCAAACTATTTGAAGTTACATTACCAAGAGTTGCCATCTCAAGGCTTATTCTTGGATCCTGGATAGCTTCTTTGGCTGTTTCACTGGCATGAGCAGCCACAAAGCAGGTGTATCTACTGCCAGAGAATTTCTCAGTCTGTCCAAGTAAAACACCGTAGTGCAACCCATTTCTAGTGGGTGGCTGACGTGCAACACTTGGCTGGGAGCTGCTCCATTGCCTGCTGTGTTCTCTGACTCAATGTGGTGTCTGCTCCTTAAGGCTGCCTTTCAAGTTCTGTGGTGACTTCAAGGAGGACATAAAAACTGAACTTAAAAGGTTCTGCCTGTCACTGAGCCCTCATCAACTGCTTTCCTTGAGTCCCACATCTGCTGATGAAACCGCACTCGCATCACCCTTTCTTGAAATAAGCAATTATCTTCTGACTTTGTTCAAACAATATTGGCTCTAGAGGACAGATCTTCCATTTTCCTTCCTCAGCAATCTCCTGGTTTCGCTCTGAAGGCTGCTTAAATCAGGTTGAACCTGGTGTCAGCAGGCATAACAGTATAGAAGCCAGCCTTGAATTCAGTCCTGGAAATATAAACCAAACAAGCAGCCTTCAGCTTTGGTGCTTAGGCCCTGACCTGTGCGGTTAGAGCAACTCTCCTTGCCCAGTTTGAGCAGGTTTGGATCATTAGGTGGGCAGATGTTTTCAGGGGGGCAGTAGTGTCAGTTGGTATCATTTTTCTCTGAGCTCCCATCCTCGGGTGGCTCTGCACTGCCTCAAGGTGCTGGCTACCTATTTAGTTGATCCTTTTCAGAGTGTTTTGTACAAGGTTTGATTTCTGTAATTGGACATCTTGCAACACCAGAAAAGCTAGCAATGATGTGGAGCATCCTTTGACGGAGGCTTTGTCTTGAGAGGAGTTTGTCTGCTCCATTCTAAGGAAGAGAACTTGGGTCACCAGTAAAACAGCATGTGTTTTCAATTAAGAGTAAATGTGTTTGGAATTAGATTATTTTCTCAGTAGGTTCTTTGATGTATAAATATCTTTAAATGCATTCCAGTGCAAGCCATTACTTGGCTTAGTATATTTTTCTTACATTATTATTTGGTGATGACTTGAAGAAATTCTACATGTCCTCTGTAATGCATGAAAAAAAGCTGTTCCTTTGTGTACTGAAAGGATTTTGTTGGAATCTGTGAAGCTTTTGCAAGTCTTTAGGAGAAAGAAAAGATTTCTGGATCTATATGTTGTCAAGGGCTGGCAGTTGTCTGCTTTCAGTATTCAGGACAATGGAAATTAACCTTTTCCTCTGGAGGGAGGCATTGTGGTGCTTACTGCCTTCAGAGGCTGCAGGTAACTGCCTGCTCAGGCAGCTGTGCCAATGGAAAGACTTTTTTTTCAGTCACTGCCTCTAGTCCAGTGCAGAAGAGCCATTTAGCTGAATATTATCTCAATACAGTAGTTGGGATGTATCTTGTAGTGTGCAGTCCTTGCTCTTTGTGATGTAAATTGAAAAGGGTTTAATGAAGAACCTCTGAGTATGGTGGGCAGGTCACATCTGTACAAGAGAAGCTGCTTGTACTGAGCTGTTGCAGTTGGAAGCAGCACAGAGCAGGGAACTTACTGCACTTGTCCAAACACATCTCTGCCTTTCAGACATTCTCCCCTAAGCCAGTACTGTCACCAGAGTCAAGGAAATGACATAAAGCTGTGTCAGGGAAGATTTAGATTAGTTATCAGGGAAATGTTCTTCCCTCAGAGGCTGATCGAGCACTGGTACAGGCTTCCCAGGGCAGTGGTCACAGCACCAAGCCTGTCTGACTTCAAGGAGTGTTTGGACAGTGCTGTCAGGCACATAGTGGGATTATTGGGGTGTCCCGTGCTGGGCCAGGAGTTGGACTTGATGATCCTGATGAGCGTCTTCCAACTCAGCACATTTTATGATTCTATATACCCATGGTCTCTCTCTAGGATTGCTTTCTTTGGTGGCTTAGTGACACTGTAGCACATTTGGGAAAGCCATCCTTATCAAATCTTCTAAACAGGCAAGTCCAACAGCAGAGGCAATGTGGCTCAAGGACAAACTGTCCAGCACATAGCACTGTCACCCAGAGCTGGAGGAAGGTGAGCCATAGTTTGTATGCTGGCTTGGGGGTGGGAATTCTCGGGCATTGTGGCTATTCCACTTAAGGCTCAAACAAAACCACTTAACTTCTGTGTTCTCAGGGGTATTTGCTCTGGTTCCTTGTATGAACGCTTAGCAACACTCTGAGCAAATCATGTATTTATCTTTGTACCTACCAAGTTGGTATTGACACTGAGCCTGTAAGTTGCTTTAGGACTTGGTTGCATTATGTTTGCTTGGCTCTTTAATTGTGGGCTTCTTTGGGCCAAATTTTTGTTCACTGCACTTTACTAGGTGGTGCTCTGACACACTAGTAACATACAAGCCTTTGTAGGCTCTCTGCCAGCCTCTTCCCATCGTTCCCACAAGATGGGCTGCAACTTAAGACGTTTCTTAAGATGAATTTCTTTCAATCCTTGGGGGATCTGGAGAAGCTGGCTTCTCTACTTTTAGAGATATGCCGCTTCTGAGGGTTCTTGAAGAAGGAGGAATCGAGTCTCACCCTGTAAGTTAACTAGTCCAGCTCTCGGCAGGCTGTAAGCCGCTTGCCTATGGCTGACTTAAAAGGCGGCGCGTTGCAGTTCAACCACCGCACTGACATGGGGCTTGGCAACAACCGAAGGATATTTGCTATTAAATTCCAGAGCAACCACTTGCAGGAGCAGCTTGCCGGGGCAGTGCCGCAGCAGCGGCCGAGCCGTGCGGCGCCGGCACCGCGGCGCGGCTGGGGAGGGGAGTCGGGCACGGTGCGGACAGCACGGGGGAGCGGGTCCAGCTCCGTCCTCTGCCCGCCCGCAGCTCCGAGGGGCCCTAAGACGGCGAGGGAGCCCCGACCCCTCCCCGGCGGGCGCGTCGTGGGGGCTGAGGGCAGGGGGGGCCCCCACGCGAGGATCCCCGGGGCAGGGCGCTGGTCGCACCCCGCGCTCCGCGGGCCGTTTACGCGCAGCCACATCCCCGCGCTGGCGCGGTCCTCCCGCTCTCCGCCGAGCCGCTCGCTGCGCCTTTAGCGACGGCGGCTGCGCCTTTAGCGGCGGGCGGGCGGCGGCGTCTCTCGGCCGCGTCTCTCAGCGCCGCAGGCGAGGGGGCGGCGCGGGGCCTCCGCAGAGCCGATGGGGCGGCGGAGTGCGGAGTGCGGGCGCGCCCGGAGCGCCCCGCGAGCGAGCACCTGACGCGGCTGAGAACGGCTTGGCTGCAAGCACGGAGCCCTGAAATGGCGAAAGCTCCGCGCCCAGGTGAGTGTTGAGCCCCGGGGGCGGGACGGGGTGGCCCTGAGGGCAGCGCAGGATGGGGTGGCCCTGAGGGCAGCGCGGGGCCCCGGGGGGGCTGGGGGTGAGGCTCGGGTGCGCTCCTACGTACCCGCGGCTCCGGGGCAGCCCCAGCTCCGCGTCCTTCCCCGCCGGCCCCGCGGAGCGTTGAACACAAACTCGTGTGAACGAGGCGCGGGTATGTTCGTCCCTTGTCGTGGTTTCCGAGCGCGGCCCGCTCTGCCTTGGGCGCTCGCGTCGGTCGGTGTCGTGGTCGCGGCACTGCCGGAGCATCGCGGGCGCCCGCGCCAGTCGCCGCTGCCCGGCCTCGTCCCGCCCTCCGCCGGAGCTGGTCTGGGAACGGTCTCTCCCAGCTCCGGCCTCGTGGGGCCGGTGCTCGGTGCCACCTGCCGAGGAGGAGCAGAGCGGGAGGCAGCAGCCGTGCTCGGAGAACAATAAAGGTATGCTGTTGGGTGGGACTTGCTGAAAGGCAAGGGCTGCGCTTTGCCCGTTCACGTGCTGTAACTCGCGCTTCCTCCGGAGCCTGAGCACTGCGGAGGTCGGTTGGCTGGAGCTGGGACCAGGGTTTGGGGATGCTCAGCAGCAGCAGCACCCTGATGCCCCGTGCCCAGTGCAGCCTACAGGCACAGGTGGCATATCCTGGGTGTGCACGAATGGCCAGTGACAACCAGCAGAACAGATGAGAATCCACTTGCTGATGCAGAAGTGGTTTTCTTCTAGGTTGCACGCAGAGCCCATTGCTGTTGCAGATGAAGGCCTAACTGCTGTGGCCGAATGGTCAGTATGTGACGTTCACCTGGTGTTTGGTGCCAGCTCTGGGACAGCTAAACCCAAAAGGGTTTTTTCCAGCAGTGTTTTTGGTTTTTTTTAATTATTCCTCCAAAATAGGCATGGATTGGTGGCAGTCCAGAGACATAATACTCAGGAACATGAGAACATCGATAATTTCAGAAGATGCAAATATAGGATTGAACTAAATGGTTGTTTTCCATCTTTGGAAGATGAAGAAGTAAAAAAGTGAGGGAAAAGTCTCACAGTTTTTTCTTTGGCATTAGTTTCCAGTCCTTTTAAGTTTGATAGGAAAATAAAGGGGCATTGCTTTGGCTTTCTGTGATACATGAGTAATGCAGCCTGCATACGTAGCTTGTGTGTTCAAGCCCAACTTTGCACAGGAATTTTAAAGGATGGTACTTGTCTTGGATGTGATTCCACTGACTTCAGTCGACAAAATATGTCTTTTGATGCCAACTTTGTGACACTGTAACTACTTCTTATTGTAAAGCAAAACTAAGCCATTCACAAAGGAGGTCTGGCAGAACATATCTGCTTTGGGAGTAGAGGAAATGTGCTGCTTTTATAAATGGAGCCTACTGAGTTTATCAATGTGAGCTGGAATACGCACAAAGGTAGAAATGTTGTATCTGTTTTGCTTGTATGAACCCTGCCTTGCAGCCCCTTCCAATGCTGTAGCCTTATCTCAGAAAGAAAGATCACAAGTCTGGTGAAAATCTGCTGTTTGATCACTGTTGAATGACAGGTGTGCCTGTAAAGGGCTTTTATGCGTGGTCCATGCTTGACTCATTTGAGTAGTCAGATCTCACCTAGTGAACTCCAGATCTTAAGCACTTGGAGTAGTCCCTGTGCAGAAGTGCTTGGACATTTGCAAGATTGTAGGTTGTAAAACCTACCAGACACAACTGCAGATGATAGTCCTGATGGTAGTGACCTGACATGTCCCTGCGGGAGTGGGGGGGATATCTGCTCTTTATCTCCTACTTTAATTTTAACAGACAGCAGTGACTCAAAAATGTCAGATCCTCCTCAGTAAGCCAGAATCTCTGCACTATGAAAGTAAGAGTCTTTCAGATGTGATGCAGGCAGTCCACCTACAGTCATTGCAGGAAAAGGTTAGAGAATATTCATATCTTCTCTGGTTTTGGGGAGTCAGTTTGGAGGAGGTGATGATGCTGCTGAGAGGGAGGGTGAAGTTAATTTCTGCTGAGGGGGAGCTGGTATCTGAAGCATCAAGAAACAGCTCTGGGAGATGTACCACATTTACAGGAAAGCTCTGTCTAGGATTTTGAGCCTGAACAGCCATGGTAAACCTCTTCTCTCGCTTCCTCCACCTCACTAGTAATCCCAGAGAGTGCAAGACTGGAAATTTCACTGATACCTTAAAATAGGGGCTTAAAGGCCTGCATGGCTTAATTTCTTGATTTGTTTTCTTTACTTAATATGCAAATACATGCCTGTCCTTACCGTCTGCTGCAGAATTGCCAGTGGAAAGATGTACAAAGTAGGTAACCAGAGACTTGTCACTGTGGAATTGCTACGAGATGAAAGACATTGAATGAGGAATGGGAGAGAGGAGTTGGTTGTGTTGCGCACTTTTGACTACAGTGGTTTCTGGACTGTTCCATTAGTTAGCTCTTTCATTTCTTGACAAGGGATCCTGCAATTTGTGTGGACTTTTTTCTGTCTATAACTATGTCTCTGGCTTTGTCAGCTGCGCTCTTTGACAAGAGAACTTGACATCTTGACTTAGCTTCTGCTTTTTTCTTCTCTATCCCCCTTGGCCTTGTATGCTCTCTCTCTCCGACCTCCCTCTCACCTCTCATGGTTATTTTTCTCCCTCTCTCCCTTTAGGGTCACAGTTCTGTAGGCATCCCACTCCACACTCCCCCTCAGCCCTTTCTGCTTGCAGTGTGTTTCATTTCAACTTCAACTGATTTCACTTAAGTTCCAGTTTCTGCTGCAGGTTTATTGTATGATTTTGGACGAGTTCTATGTGGCCCTGCCATCAATGATGTCAAGGTATGGTCTGTCTTTTTTGGTGCTCTGTGTGCAGGCGAGGGCTTTCTCTGACCATATGTTAGTTTTCACTCCGGAATTATTGAAGGAAGGATCTGCATCTCTGTCTTGCCTGAGCTCCTGAGTCTGAGGAGTTCCCCCAGTAGTTAAGTTCACATCCTTGTAATATACATCTTCAGTTTCACATTTGCCAGAGAACAAATAAAGCATGTAACTAGAATATATAGTGGGTGATTTTGGCCTCCAGTAAGTCTTAACTGTGTAGTCACTAGGTAACACTGTGTGGGTAGCTCAGTTAAATCACTTAATGGGTAGGCAGGAAGCATCTGAAACCATCAGAATGGAAAGAAGTATTATTATACAATAGCAGTCACTGGCAACAGCGAAGGTCATTCCTTCTACTCAGCATCTCTTTCCAAATGGAAAAATGACTTGTGTTTTTTAATTTTATTGGGAAAACTGTCCCCGAATTCAAAACGGTCACAGTTCTAAAGCAAGTTTTGACAAGTGGAAATGTTTTAATCTGTGCAACAGAATCTATTTTTTTATTATATTTTGTTGAGATTAATTCAGTCCTCAATACTTTACTGTGTAAAAGACTTAGTTTCCAGTAGGTGTGAGAACACTGTGTACTGTTTCGTGTCTAACTAGGTTGTGTGGTGATAGTATTCAAGAGTGCTTTTTTTATGATTGCCTGTGTCTGGCATGTGCTTATATCTGGGCTTGATTGGCAAATGTTTGTTACCAAGCAAAAGATGCAGGAAGAAGCTGGGCCTGCTGCAAAGCTTGAAATGTGTGATAATGTGACAGTGAATTGTGTTGAATTAGTTTTCCAGTAAAGCCCTCTGCTGTAATCACATCCAATGAAAACTGCTGCTCTTATCCCAAGCTGCTTGAATTGAACCTTCCTGGCAGATCCAGTGTGAGCACACCTGAATCAGGTTGGTCTTTGGGACCAGCCTGTCACACTACTGATGCTACCAGTGCACAAGGGGCTGGTATGATGGCATTTGGATCAGCCTGCTTGCTTTCTGCCTGTCCTGTTTGCCTGACAAAGTAACCAGTGATCCATGCACTGGTAAGGAGAAGAGAGACATGCTGGAGTGACTCTTACGGTGATGCTTCTGGGCTGAGCTTTCTGTGCTGCAGCTCTGCCCTCACAAATACGCTTCAGGAATGAAGTCCTTGCTCTTTCAATCCCTAAGTGTTTGTGCTGGTCCTGCTGGTGAAGTTCTACTGTAAACAGTGATGATTCGAGTTGTGGTTTTCTTTTTCAGCTGCAGTCAGTTTTTTAAAAGCTGTTTCAAGATGAGAAGGCAGCAGAACCAGAATTATTGAGTGACAGTGATGAGCTGTTCTGTCTTAGGATGCTTGGGACTTACAGGATGAGTGTGTTTTGGACACTAGGCCTTTTAAAAGGATATAGGAAAATGATTAAATTAGAGTTGGGAATCACCAGTGTTAGCTATTCAGTTGCCAGAGGAAGACCTTTGTTTCTTAGAGGGCTTTTCAGAGTCTCTTAGGCCTTACCTCACTTCTTACCCATTTTTCTACTTCCATTTCCTTAGTCCTGAGAATGTTGGCTACAGACTAGTAGAGTCACTTTAATTCCTCTTCTGTTTTTCTTTTTTTTTTTTCTCTTTTAGAATCCCCCTCATAATCACATGGGATGAAGTGTGCTCATGCACTACTTAATTGTCATATCACTACTAATATGTCAAAAAAAGAGGCACCTTTGGAAAGAATCTGAGTTTATGCCTCCTGACCAAGAGAAGCTAGAGACAATTCTTCTCTTATATATACTTTTCAATTGCTGTTGATTTCTTATGGAACTATGATAAAATGAGCTCTGCTGGTGTTTGTGGGTGAAAGTAGAATTGGCATTTTTCATGGCTGTTCTGCTCCTTAGGTCTATTTGTGGAACATATCAGAGATTGCACCATCATAGTGGGTTGTTCCTTCTCTGGACAGACAGCATTAGAAGCTGCAGATATGTGAGTGGGAACTGTTTCTTCTACTGTTTGCTGGAACTATGTATAGTCACTAAACACCAGGGATGAAATTTGCCTTGCATCTGAATTAGGATGCCATCCACAGAGGTGCAGTCTGACTTGCCTTCAACTGGAAGTGTGAGTGTCACATAATAGAACATGGGACTATTTCTGTAGCAATTTTCAGTCAAGTAAGATCCTGGCTATTTTGCTGCTTATCACAAGAGGATGCAGCTGATCATATCTGTGGCTCTCACCCTCATGGAAGCTGTTCTGTACAGGGTAAAGGTTTCAGTTGTGATCCTTACTTATACATCTTAGGGTAAGGAAATCAATATCTAACGTGGGTAAATTGACTAATGAACATATTGCAAATCTAAAAGTCTTACTTTAAATGATTGTTTTTCAACAACATTCAGAAGTGGCTTTGTATAAATTGCTAATTAATGGCAGCTACTGTGAGGTTGGGGTATATTGTGGAGTATGGTGAATCACAAACCCTGATTTAGCATGTCCATGATGGATATACTATGGAATAGTACAGATGTAGGATTATTGTTTTCTTTAGGTCCTGCAAGAGTTGTCTTCGGGTTGATACGATAACATCAGGCACAGAAAAGAATAAAGTATGAAAAAAATTAGTACAGGGAAAAACAAGAGAGTGTTTTCCACCATTGCATTTCACTCATGCATCATAGCACCTCATCTCGTGTCACCAGGTCACTGACGCAGCAAAGTACCAGTGAAATTCCAGCTGTTCTTTGTTGAAGAAGAAAAAGCAAGACGTTTTTAACAGAAGAAAATCACTGATTGTAATCATAATTACAATACTAGCCTAACTAGAGCATTCAGCTTCTGTGCATGGTGCTGCAGGATGCTCTGCTCCTGTCCTCTCTGCAGTTGTTGCTGTGTGCTCAGGGCCAGCCCCTGCCAGCTCCCTCTGTCACAGGTGACTGTCACAACATGCAGTTCTGTGCAGAGAGAGCAGCTTAGGTAGGAAACTTCACTTCTGCTTCTTCTGGAAGGGAAGCACCTGTGCATTTCTGTGGACTCTCCTTCTGCCTCTTGGAAGTGTTCCCCTTGTATCCTACTGTCCATCTGCTGTACTGCCCCAACAGCCTGTGGGGAACTGCTGTATGTGCTTCTACTGTTGTGACTCTGTCATTAGTGGTTTCGGTTAAAAGTATTTCTTCATGCGGTCCCCTTCTATCATCAGAAATTGTGATACTGAACAACTGAAATTAAATTAAATTAAACAGCTGAAATTAAATGAAAGTTGCTACCCTGGGTGCAAAAATTGCTGACATCTGGCTGCTAAGAATCAGCTGACTGATCTGATAAAGAGTAAGTTCACTGCCATAGAAGCCTCAAGTGTCATTACCAAGGAGTTTGCCTGCATTTCAAAGTAGGGCAAGTCTTTTCATTCTCTGGAAAAAATAATAAAATAAAATATGCAGCAGTTGACACTGTAAATCATATCAGTGAGTCCAGGCAATGTCAGTGTCTAATGCAATCAAGAAATGTTAATAGAGTCTTCTGAAGGTGTCTAATGCTAATCTACTGGCACAAAACAAAGCAGACTCTACAAGGACCAATGTATTAGGGCAGTGCAATGCAGTCCAGCCAGCAAATCCATGTAGATGTGGAGAGCTGCTGCAGTGAGATCACGCAGATTTGTGCTGCTAACTGTGGATATGTTTAAGCTGCTTCTAAATCTAGAAGCATTCCTAGTGCAAATAATAATAAAACTGATGCTTCCAAGGGCTTTTCTCATAGCCAGAATTTATGCCTGGATATTTGTGACACTTTTCCCTGTCCTGTTACATTGTGCATGGAACTCCAAGGTCCCTGGAACCATGAGCTTGTTTTGGGGGGGACAGTACTTTTACTGATTTCCAGCCAGGCTAGTGGCAGTTTTTCACCAGGGAGTTGCTCTTTGTTTTGGAGTACTTTTGAAGTCTTTACAATTTTAGATTTATATTTCCTTCCTTTCCTTCCCTCCCTCCCTCCGCCTCCCACCTTCCCTCTCTTCCATCTTATACTTTTGCAATTTTGGAATGCCTGCTCTTCCAAGCATTGACCCAAAGCAGACTTGTCTTCGTTAGAAGTTCAGATAAGTGTTCTTTCTACCACTATTTTGAAGACTGTAGTGATACATTTTAGGATAGATATGTATCTGAATGGAGGGACAGCAAGGTGTTGTTTGGTGAGGAATAATTCAGTGTACTGTTTCCTATGATTAGTAAAAATTTTCAGAAATCTCTAACAGTAAGTGCAGTGGTCGGTATGCATTCTCCAGTAGCTGCCAGATACCATTGGACACATTCCCAACATGCACCGTACTCTTGTAATGAATACTGACTCCTTAATAACCAATTTTTTTTTTACCCTATTAAGATACTATTAACTGATTTTTATTTTTACTCTCTTCTTGGCCAGCTAAAATCTGCTTCTTCTTACCACTCTTCACTTATATTTCTGATTAATTCAGCTATAGGTGGAATAAATGAAGAACAAAAGGCTGTGGACCTAGTGGCATGTTTTCCACAGAATAGTTTAGAAGGTGCATCCTCTGCTTGAGTTGCTGTTTTACTAATGAGAGAAGAAGAATGCTTTTGTGGCCAGGGGCTCTGGATATTAGATTCAGATCTGATGGCATCATTTGCAGAAATGAATAAAACCAAGGACACTGTTTAGGTGGGCAATGAGTGTCCTTTTTACAGTAGCGTTGTTAGGGGTATGGTGGATTTGATGCCTGGTTCCCCACTGATTGTGGGGAGACTTTGTTGTTAATAGAAGGAATATATTTCACTACTACTTTCTAGTGTTGGGTTGCTGCAGATGTAAAGAAAACTCGTACAGTTAGGCAAGTCCGGTTTACTAATTACAAATTAGTTTGAGTATGATAATCCGTTGGGACCATCTACGCTGTCATGACTATATCTGTTACTGTACTAATTCTAAGGCGGTTTTGCCTTCCTGTCTGCTGTCAAGTGGAAGCTTCGAATGAAAGCCCCAGGCTCCAGCACAGCAAAGCTCTCTGATGAAAACAGCTCAGTGAGTGAGAATTGAGTAGTTTGTCTGCAAATCTGTGAGCTAAATAGGATGACACTTCTTTTAGGAGTGAAATTGAATTTAAATGGAGATACTGCCATGTCCTGGGGAAATGCTGCTTCATGCCTTAGAAACAATATGCAGTTTGAGTGTTGGAATGGAACAGCCAGATGAATTCAACAGGGAAGAATTTATCTTTTGAGGTCGCTGCATTAGCTGAAAGCAATAGACTTATCTTTAACAAGAACTTGTTTTAATCACTTTTGTTAGGTGGAAGTATTTTTGTGCCATCCTGAGAGCTCTGGCTGGGTGACTATTGAGATTAAAGTTTGTGTGATGACCAAAATGATCCTCCTGAGCCATGTGCACAAACTGGTCATGAACGCGTTGGGTTGTTGTTTTTTTCTGGAGCAGAGGTGAGCGTTCTCTTGGGTTAATGTGAGCCTCTGTATTTCCAGCTGGCCCGTGCCGGTTTGGTGGCGCCCAGCGGCACATGCAGAGCGTCCTCAGGGACTCCGTGGAGAGCTCCGATGATGAATTCTTCGATGCACGAGGTCAGTGCACATTTTTGTCCTCCCCTTCCCATTTTTTTCCCCAATTTTGCAGCAAGTAACTGAGCTCCTTTGGAGGTGCACTGAGAGCGTTGTCCTCATCAGACAAAAAAACCCCATCAGATCTTCTCTTCAGAATTTATGAATGGGCCTAAATTTACAGGAGTTGGATGAGGTGCTGGGGTGCATGAGCAAGCTGCCCTGAACTGAGTCTGATGTCTGAAGCAGCAGGACTGCACCAGCCCAGACCTTATGGAGTCTTTTCGGTCCAGCTCCTTCCCAGATCAGGCAGTGTATGATGTTACAACTGGAGTTCACAGTTCACTTGTTCACAGTTTCTGATGAAGGCCATGAGTGTCTGTGTTACTGATGGCCAACTTTTAAGACCAATGGCTTAGGTTTTCCATTCTGTCAAAATTTTCCCTGGGCAGACTGAGACCTCTGCTTGCTCAAGGAGCGATAATCTGAGTGCTTGTGGGTTTAATCACAGAATATTCTGAGTTAAAAAGGACCACAAGGATCATCAAGTCCAACTCTTAAGTGAATGGCCCATATGGGGATCTAACCCATGATCTTGGCATTATTAGCAATATGCTCTGACCAACTGAGGTACCTGCAGCACTCCTGACATCCCCTGTGAGACCCTGAATCTGGACATGCTCTGTAACACACCATCAGATTCTGCTGATGTCTAAGTGCAAAAACGTTTGCATAACTAAGATTGTCATTCAGTTTCTCCCTCTGGTGATATTTGTGGGGCAGAGAGAAAATCCCCTCCATTCCCCACATTCTGTTCCTCTTGAATGAGGCCTATTTCTGAGCAAATTAGTTTTATTTTATAGGACCACATTGGCTTCTGTCTCATTGCTGTGTGCTGATTTGGTATCTGGAGATGCATGGTGGACTTCCAAATGGCAGTTGGTGTTTTTAAGGCAGTATTTGGCACTGAAGGTCTGCTGTCTTGAAGTGAACTTCAGTTTTCAGCATGTTGTAATTTTCTTTGTGTGTAGAATTGTTGCAAGAATGGTTGATGACCAATTCTTGTGTTTTCATGCTGACACAAGCTTGTGTGAAAATTCAGCATTATGTCAGGAGCTTTTTAGTTAATTTAAAAATGCAGAGGGTGGGAGGTAGGCAGTGGGGGCATCAGCTTTGTGCTTTGAGTGGTTTGGAAGCTGTGCATCAGCTTCACTGATAACTGACTAATTTATTTCTGCAAAGCTGAATTTGTAATATTATTTTCCTAAACAAGCTGTTTTTCCAGAGACATAACTAATATTAATCAGATTATTACTGTGTATTATTCAAAGTACAGGTTTGGATCCAGGGTGCCTTGACTTCAGTTTATCTGCCAATGATGGTGTCTGTCTGATGGTGAACCACTTATTTTCCAATTTCCTTTTTGCCTTCTATAGTTATAAAACTTATGGCAAATTTAAACTTGAAATACAAGCTGCTCACATTTTTTATCACCATCCTCTCCAGTAGGCAACAGCCTCAATTAAACAAGGGAAGAAAACTTTTCAAAATAAAACTGAATTTGAAAACTTGGCACCAAATTTTGGCCTTTCCTAGAATGTTACAACTGTCCATTGAAATTGGGCAGGTCTAAATGACGATAGATACTGGAATAATGTTTTTTAAGAAAGTCAAATGATTTGTGTTTGGTTGATCAGATATAGCAAGATAAATCTGTTTGATCTAGTTTATTCAGGAAGTCTGGCTAAATGATTTAATGGATTCTGCTGCCTCTAGAATCAGTGAAATTGATTGTGGACTTCACATTCTTTCAGAAACATGCTTGAATCATCTTGATTTACCAGAGTTAGAAATGAATACCTGGCTCTACAGGTATACTACAGCCTCTGTGCAGAGAGATGCAATTGTTCTTTTTAACTTAATTTGAAAGGATGTCCTGTGGTAGTTTCTTCATTTATCGCCTGTATTAGTATAGCATGTATTCAGTTCAGAGCCTTTTTGAAGTCCGAGATATGAGACATTCCTCAAATACTGTTTTTAATTACCTGTTTCTACATAACCAGGCTTACGGTAACTACTCCGTTGGCATAAAGGGTTCTGTATCTGAGAATCAAGAAGCAATCCATAGAAAAATAAAGAAATAAGTGACCAAAAAATGGTAAATAAATTAAAGATTTTTTTTAAAAAAATTGTAGGGAGGCTGAGGCACAAAAACCTGACTACATGTTATCTGATGTCACAATGCCAGCTTGTGCCCACCCTGAAATGAGCTCAGATCTGCTCTTCTGAGCTGGGATTTAGCAATCCATCTCTGTTTGAAGAGAGCCCTGAGCTCTGTGTGTGTGCATGCACGGGTCTGTGTTTCAGAAAATACATTGCTGAACACTGATTATTTTATCCTTGTTCTGAACCAAACAGCTGTCTTATCTGAAACAGGCTTTTAGCACAGGGATGTTCCAGCTGTCTGCACAGAAAGAGGAAAGAAATATGGATAGTATATAAGCTCATTTGTCCCTTGTAATCTTTACTGTCAGTGGGTAGGCACACAGACACTGCAGCTGGTACTCAGATGATCCTTCATTATTATGGGAATGTGAATCGTCATAGATACAAAGCTGATGTGGATGTGTAACTGAGATTTTGGGGGAGAGGCTGTGTGGCGTATGTGTGTAGATACATATTTTATTTGCTTTTTTTAACCATAAGAATGGTGGCTTGTGTTTTGGAGGCAAACCAAAAATCTCCAGTATTGTGTCATTTCTCATGAAAATTCATGCCCTTGAAATCCATCTCAGTCTGTGGAAGTCTCTTTGCACTGAGAGAACCAGTCCCATTTTTGAAAAGTCTTAAACTGATCTGTGTGTCCACTCTGCCCTCTGCTTTGCCTTTTGAATGTTCTTAAAATGAAAAAAAAGAAACAAAACCAACCAGCCACTCAAACACTCAAATTGATTATTGTAAACTTTATTTTTAAGTGACTGCTCAAGGTAAGAAAAAAAATTCGGTCCTCTCTTTTCCATTGTTTTCCTGCACACAATATATGAAGCATACAGGTTTGCTGTAGAGCATATGAGTAGGTAAAAAGCTTTCCTGGAGAGTCCTGCATATGGTACCCTGTTATCTATTCCCATTAGGGGCTATGCTGAGTGTTTATTTCTGTCTCAATTACTGGTTCTCACCCTGTCTTTTTTCTGTTGTTTGTCACAGCAATTTATTCTGTTCTCCTTTTTTCTCCTGCAGAAGAGATGGTGGAAGGAAAAAGTGCCATTCTTATAGGCATGAGCCAATGGAACTCAAATGACCTTGTTGAGCAGATAGAAACAATTGGGAAGCTGGAAGAAAATCAAGGTAATGTTTATCTTGCATTACGTATTTAGAGTTAATAAGAAAATCTGACTACTGAAGCAGTTAGTTGTCAGATATTACATAAATACTCTACAGAAATGTCATTTTACAGCATTCCATGGTTAAAAGATTTACATAGACATGTAAGTAGCATTTTAGTGCTGAGAAATGAGTTGCAAAGATCTCTTTCAGGAGGAAACTTTGATAGGCCAGGTAATAAGAATTTATTGGCTTCAGTGGGAAATCGGTGTTGGACTCAGCTCAACAACTTTGAGATAGATTACAAGACTAAAACTTATTTTTGAATGTATCCTTGTATTCAACATATGAGAAACTTGTTGTCACTGGGTTATTTTGCTCCTTAAAGTCAGCAAATTGTTTTCTGGAATTTCTGTAAGGACACCTTCGTGTGTATTTACAGCCAGCTGTATGTAAATATTTGTGTAACTGTGTGCCACTGAAATGAATGGGAAATGGGCACTGATACACCAGTAAGAATCTGGGACCTAGGGCAAAGACCTAGGCAGTCTTAATTGTTACTTTGGCTCCTAAATTGCCTAGTTGTATGAAGATTAAAACTACCTTGTTGACTTCAGGAAAAAAGCCTAGCTTCTCCATTGGTGGCATGGGGCTCAGGCATAATGGTACTTGTTAATTAATCTGGCTTTTAAAAGAATTTGATGTACTTGGCCATTTTAGGAAGCTTCTCTTTATGGATTTGCTACATGTAGTCAATCCTGAAAATAGCTATGAACAGGTCTATTTTAGTATACAGGTATATAAAAGTAATATTTATCTGAGTTACAAACTTCTTATTATCTATCATAAGAATTATGTATTTTGATAATATGTAAGTGACAGGTAGACACAATACATGCAGGTTATTTACAGTTGTTAAATAGGTAATTAGAGAAGAAAAACTGGTCAGTTTTGCATTTGCTTTTAGCGTGATATCAAGGCTTCACTCACGTTGCTGTGTAACTTAATCAGATTTAGTAGCAATTTTTTAGATATAGCATAGATTACCTGTTGTAATGATGGCATTTTCTCTGCTACGGAGTAGCAAGAAAAATTAATACAGTGTTGCATCAATTATGAGTTAGTCTTCTAAATAACTTGTCAAAACCCATCTGTCCTCATATTCTTGCAGAGATTACTTCTTCCAGAGCTGGCAAAGGTTTAGAGTCCTTTTTTTTTTCATTTTAGCACCGTTTGCATGAGGGTGCTTCTGTTTGGTTTTTTTTCACGGTGCCCTTTGTGTTGGGCACTAAGGAGAGAGTTGTAACAGACTGCTTTTAAGGGTTTCTGTTGTTCCGACACAAGGGTGATGAAAGGATCATTGTTTGCATTATGCAGTTGAGTATCTGCAGAAAAGAGAATGTGAGACCTGGGGTTGCATGGGAGATCTGTGCAGAAGCAAATGAAGCAGTCCTCTGAGTTACACTCCATTCCTCCTCCTACACAGGGTTTCTGTTTTCATTTAAGCTAATTCTCTGTGATATTTTGCAAAAGAAAGAATTTTCATCGGTTTTTTTCCTTTGTTTGATTTCTGTTCACACACACTTGTTAAAAACTTTGAAACCAGGGTACCTGACCCAAAGCAGCCGATGAACTGACCTGTGTGAAGATATATTTACATTCTCATGCTGCAAGTGGCTTTTGGGTTACAGTTCATTGTGCTGAGTTGGACTGTTCTTAATAGAAACATCAGGCAAGGATTGAAGTTGGTGAGAACTGGGCTAGCACAAGTCTGAGCCAATGTTACATATACTGTATCTTGTTAAGCCAGAATGTGATTTCACTGTTTCAGCAATGCAAAAGAAAGTGGAGTTCTGGCTGCAATATGCACTCACATTTAGAATCTTCACTGCTGCACCCCTGCTAAATACATCAGATTTCTAAATAGGCAAGGCAATGCATTTCCTTCTGTCCTCTACCACCTTATACTTACAGATTCAGTCCTGTTGATTAGCTACATACTGGTTTATTCCCTCCCTCATACACATGCTCATTTGTCTCTTCACAGAATTATCTGACAAATACTGATCAGTCATATCACACTGTTGTTAGTGCAGATAATTGTACCGTGCTTTTGTTATAGCTTAACAAGTCTGAATAGTGTTACTGATTAGCAATTTTAGAAAAGTCTGTGATTAGCAACATCATATACAAACAAAAAAGGCAAAGAGGGAAGGAGGAGGACATTGGAAGGAAGACTGTCTTCTGTACCACAGTAAAAAGATATTTTAGCCTTAGCCCAGTTGTTTATTGTAAAAACTTAAAAGTTCAGCTAAAACTGGATTCTCCTTTTGGTTTCTTTTCCAAGGGTTCTTCACTTGTTCAATGAAAAGATGTGAGGAGTATGGTTTGCAGATTCAGGGAAACTCCCTCCCCATCTGGATTTACTTGGGGCTCTCAGAGAATGATGAGTTCATTGGTGTTGGTTCCAGAGAGCTTTGGTACAATTCAGCCAGTCTCTAAGGCCAATGATTTTGCTACGTGCCCGTGCAGAGAGCAGAACACTGGTTCTTTTTCATGGTTTGATAAGTTGATTAATAAAGCACATTATTATGGAGTCTTTCAACAAGTGAAGATGTATGAGAAGATGGAGTATGCTCTGGGCAGAGCCAAATACCCACTGGATGCTTTTTATTTAAGTAATGCTACTGTTCCAGTGTGAGACAGAGAAGATCTTCAGGAACTTTATAAATTACAAGTATGTAATTTAGTTCGATGATTGGTTCTCAGTAAGTACAACTGAGAGCACTTGTCCAGTGCAACCTTTCTTATCAGAGGTAGAAATAAGTATTTGGGAGCAAACTGGCAGCAGAATGTAAATTTATTGAGTTTTCACTTCAGCAAATAACAAACAGCAATCAAGCTGAATTAAAAATTTGTACAGCTGCATAAATTATGTTGATGCAGATGCCTTCTTTGTTGTAGAACAAAAGCTTTTTTACACATCATAGCCATGCATTTAAATTCACTCCTAATGCAAAGTATCTGTCCATTACATTAAGGAAAATTGCATGTACTAAGCACTAGGGACAAATTCAACCTGCTGGATTTCAGTGCTTTGCATATCCTCCAGCTATCTTGAGATCATATCCTTATTTTAAATATATATTTTTAGTGTTTGTGAGGTTGAAGGTGTTGGTTTGTTTCTGTACTCCTGACAAAAGCAGCTGGCATTTTCTGGATTGTGCCATAGACAAAGCTGCTGTGCATAAGTTTGTGCAAGCTACATTGCGACTCCAGACCTCTTTTTTTTTTTTTACCTGATCTGATAAAATACACAAGCTTTAAGGTTTTTCTTGTGCTGAGTTTCTCGTCTGTGGCTGCCTGGTTTTCTGCCTGTCTTCAGTGAGCCAACAACTATTGCTGGACAGGTCCAATTCTTGGCCATTTTACCAGAAACATTGGGACAAGATATATTTCATTACAGTTGTTAAATTTGCAAAACCAAGATTTCAGAATTTAGCAAATGCCAAGCTTGAGATCTTAATGCAATCTTTATCAATCTCCTTTGTCTATTTGCCCCAACACACTGGGTTTAATTACTCAGTAGTGTGATAGGAATGGATTGTGTATGTGATGGGTTTGCTTACTGTCCTTGACGTGTAGAAAGAGAGGTTTTGTCTTTAGCAATGGAGAAATCCTGAATGAAAGTTTGTCTGGCAGTAAATAGAAAGTACTTGTACATCTTTCTTGTCTGTGAAGAGTTTTTTCCTACAAAAGCTTCCCTTAAAAAATTTAGAGAGATATGAAGATGATCTTCAGAAAAATGGATGTGTGAGAAGGAAGGTTGCAGTGGTTTGTTTTAGATTAAGTATTAAAATTACAGTAGCAGGATATTTGCAATAATATGAATTTGTGGGGTAGTTGAGGGAAAATAGGTAATTGGCATGGTTTGTTTGTTTATTATTTCTTCTAAGGAAAAGAAATATGCATCTTTGTGACAGAACTAGATAATATCTGAAAATTGGTGTGTGCAATTTCTGATATTTTTGACTGTGTATTCTTGCTCAACTTGTGGTTCACAGGAGCACATAATTTCTGTCTTTCACCAGAAGATGTACTTAATCATAGAATGATTAGAGTTGGAAGGGACCTTAAAGCCCATTCTCCTTGGCCCTCCTTTTGTTGCTGTTGAATTTGTAGAAAGCATTTTTTGTTGTCTTTTACGGCAGTAGCCAAACTAAGTTCTAGTTGGGCTTTGGCCCTTCCAGTTTTCTCCGTGCATAACCTCACAACAGCCTTGTAGTCCTCCTGAGTTGCTTGCTCCTTCTTCCAAGGTGATGTGCTGTCCTTTTTGCTCTAAGTTCAAGCCAAAGCTCTTTGATCAGCTGGACTGGTTGTCTTCCCTGCCGGCATGGCCTGCCTTTTCCAAAATATAAACATTCTGAAAACCCCCACATGCACACACAAAAGAAGTGAAATGGGCAACCCCCCAGTGAATCTTGACTGTTTCTTTGGTTTGAAACTTAATTTGTTTAAAAAAAGGAGGAGGTATGCGGTATTTTTGTAGAAAATAATGTAAACAAGCAAGCAAACAAATAACAATGTAATGCTGTAATAACCTTGCCACAAATGATGACTATTGATTTAATACACACTAATTAAATTTTAAGAGCCATTAGTCATTTTTTCAGCAATATGCTACTATTTTACTCTGCAAGTTCAGCTAATTGAATTAAAATGTTTCAAATGAGGATGAATTCTCAGGTAGGCAATTGACAAAATGCAATTTGATTTTTCATTGTTTAAAACATAACTGACTGTAAAATGTATGTGAAATTCACTTTTCCTGTGCTTCGTATGCCACACATACAGACTGATGGATTGCTTTACTGGTAACCAGCAAAATAGATGGACATGATCAGCTTTCACAACTGGAAATTTTCATATGAGGTGAGTGAAAGGCCTTTCTTGGTCCCATTGCACAAGACTAGGTTACACAGATCTTTTCATCTTTTAATGAATCGACTGTCTGTGTGGAAAAT